ACGCAAAAAAAGAGGACAAATGGAAAAATTTCATTTTTCAAGTTTTCAAAATTTGGCCTATTCACCTATAACTTTTAACTTTTTTCGATGATTATGATCCATTGTGAATTTCGGGATTTTTAAAAAATATTTTTGCTTAATTATTTATAATTTCATTTAAATCAAAATATTTTATAGGTTTTTATAAATTTTTTTTTATTCACTAGGATTTTAAATAGTTAAATAGTTAATAGTTAATAAAATGGTAGACTGCATGATTGAAATGTCTGCGGTTATTATGATCGATACGGTAGTGCTTATATATGTTGCATATATAACTATTGTTATTATATGGCTATTTATTATCATCTCTATTTGCTATCAGTAGTCATTATCATTAATATAATATCATTGTTATCATTAATATAATATTATACAGTGTATATTATTGATAGCTTAGTAATGTGAATGAGCATTACGAGTTCTATTCTTTTCATTTAGCAAAAGTGAGTGAAATTCGAGGGGTGCAACTCATTTTCACAACTCATTTGAACTTTCATCCCGATTGTCTGGTGCAGAGGACCAATAGAATTAGAAATATAATGTAAGCAAATTATAATAATAGAAGTAAAAATATATATTACTACGCTTGTTATTATTACTATGTTATTATTATAATAATATAAATATAATAACAATAGCAATAATACTCAAAATAGCAATAATTACAATAATAATTATAATAATGGCAATAATAATGATAATCGTTTATTCATATAGGAATATTTATTGGGAAATTATTGACACTACAAAGAAACAATCAAGAAATATTAAATATATAAAATTAATGGTTTTAACGAATAGTTTAGAAGAAGAAATTATTTAATGGAATTCAAATTTAAAAAATTTCAACAAAAATTTTTAAGTATTTCAATATTAATGGCATAATTTTTAATTTGAAAAATTTTAAAATTTTATTTAAAAAACAAAAATAATTTTCATAATATTGAAATTTATTTATTTTCATATATTTATTATTATAAATATAATAATAATTATTATTATTATTGTTTTTGCTATCAATATTATTATTGTTTTTGTTTTTTATTATTAGTGCTACTATTATAATTGTTTTTATTATTATCATTATCATTATTATTGTTTATCATCATTATCATCATTGTTAGTATCATTACATATTATATTTATTGTTATCATTATTTGTTATTATTACCTATTATGATTATTTATCATTATTACTATCATTATAATTATTATTTAATGTTTTTATTATTTTATGGATATGGGATGGGATTTAGAAATATAAATCGAATAAATGAATGTGACATCGATTAAAATGAAATGATTAATTTGATTATATTAATAGTATTTGGAATATAGAATCTTTAAAATAAATATGGATATTAAAATTGGAAACTTTCTTTATTTCGATGATATTTTCGATTATACATCTTATGTTTTATTTCTAATTTATTTATTAAGCTGAAAATTTCATATTTATGGAAAATTTTAAAAAATTTCATTATTTATCCGCTTCGACCGCTATATGAAAAAAAATATTCAAGAAAATAATTTTATAGTTTCATAAAAAATTAAGCAACTGTTATTTAAACGTAAACTTTTTTAAAATTTTATATATTCAATTATATTTTATAAATTCTTCGAATAAATTTCTTTTTATAATTTTCTTAATAATTTCACTAGTGAAATTGTATATTTAAATATTTTACGTATGTTGACAATAAAATTTTTTAAATAATCACTTAAATTCGTTTTAATATAAAATATAACTTTTAATATAAAAATTTAATAAAAATTTAAATTTAATAAGTATAATAAATAAAGCAATAAAAAAAATTTCTCTTAATCTTTATCGTAATTTTATAGAATATTTATCACATATTTAAATATATATATATATATATATATATGCATATTTATGAAATTTTTTTTTTTGCTGAAATTTATATTATATTTTTTATGTAATATATAATATAAATAAATATTTATTTTCATATATTTTCATATCCTATTCTCCTTCTAACAGCTTTCACCATTACTGGTTAGGCTGGCTCCAACGGCTACAAGGGTAAGACGATTACAAGCGGCGCGGTCTGATGCCATCGTCGACAGTAATGGAAGCCATTCCTTTCCTTTTTCCATCGTCTAAGTCCATATATTGCTGGTCCACCTATACGTTTAAAATCTTTTCTCACCGTATCAGTCCAGGTCTTGATTGGCCCACCTCGCTTTTGACGCCAACCGTTACACGGTTTAGCAAATAACGAAATATGCGTCAACTCGTGTGGTGGACGACGGAGAATGTGCCCTAACCAACGAAGGCTATTATGTCAAAAATCCGGGTGGCTGCTGGAGATCCACCCTATAACTCTATCCCCAAGTGACTCTATGGTGAAAGGGTCAGATACATATATTTTCATATATTTTTATATATTTTATATTTTGCAATATTTTCATATATTTTTAGAAATTCGAAAAATTTTCTTCAAATATTACTTCGATCATGTTAAATCAACCATAAAAATATTCAATCCGGAAAGTAACCTTAGAAATGTTGTTTACTAAAGAAGAAAAAAAAATTCGCGAAATTCTTACAAATATATTCGCATTTGATTCGAATAATGTGTGAAATAACCAAAATCTTTTTATCGCTTTTAAGAGTTAAAGAGTTTTTTCATAGTTCCTTAGCGATTAAACTAACTTTATTCGTATTATACAAAAAATTTTTTTAGTCGTTTTTTTTTTTGTTAATATATTTTAAATCTGTTAAGAAATTCTATGTTACAATCGTTCTTTTCTAAGAACGCTTATCAATTCTGATAAGATATGCAACTTGGTTGTTTTATTCGACTAGAAAGATTTTATCAAGAGAGTTGCATAAATATTAATGCATCACCAGCATCGACCCGACCCGCGTACATTATATATTAATTGCCTCCGAGTACCATTAGTTAATTTTAAATTTAAATTTTCATTTTAAATTCTCTTAAATTTTTTTAAATTCTCTTCGACGATTATCATTTAAAAATGCTTATCTCCATACTTCTTTTGGATTGCGAATGGAGACGAGAGGTTTTATTATAGTGGAAATGAATTTATATGAATTTTATAAATTTAAGTTGATAAGTTGATAAGATATAAGTTTTTCGCTGATAAGGTGTCGAAATCAGATTGAAAAATCAGATTGAAATCCAAGATAAATGTATTAATGTTTGCGTTTCATTATTGATAAACATATTTTTTCAATCTAAGCTTGTTTTATCAATCTTACAAATTTCTAAAATATCAATTCTCACTTTTGGTTTGTTCTGTTTAAATAACTCTGTTTTTCAAATAGTTTCTGATCTTTTCCATTGAGAAAATTAATAATGAAAAAATGATTTTCTTATCATTCATATCATTTTATATATATCATTTACTGGATCATCTATAAAATAAAATCAATAAATAAAATATAATAAAATAAAATCGTTGCAATAAAATCGTTTTTCGAAATTTTTTTGCGCTTTATTATTATTATTAAGGCTATAATTATGAGTTCTAAATTGTTGTGGGTTGTTCGGATTCATTAAAAAATTTCGTTAAGTTTTTTTTTATCGTTAACACAAATATGTCGTTAAGTTTTACGGATAATTTACTAGAAAAAATTTCTTGAAAAATTCAAAAATTTTTCTAACAAAAAAAATTTTTTTTTTTGTGAAAATTAAATCATATCATTGATATGAAATAAAATTGAAAATTGAAAAAAATCTTAAGTGGAATTTTTTTTTTGATGAAAAATTTTCTTTTTTTCATAATTTTTTTTCGATTAAAATTTTTAAAAATATCCACAAAATCAATTTCTATATATAAATCTAAATTCATAGCTCATATAATTTTTTTTAACGTATCATTTGACTAATGGAATGAACTGCTTTTTTTTGATAAAATTTCTGCACTTTCTACTTTTGCTTTTTTTAAAAATATAAATTAAATGCAATTCAATTTATGAATATTATTTACCACAAATACGTTCTTAAATCGCTTTTAAATCGTTCATCTAGTAAAATATTATTATTTAATTATTTTCATTAATTATATTCATTATCATTATCATTATTATCACTATATTATAAATAAATATTATAAATATTATTTAATAAATTTTTATTGTTTTATAAATATTTTCTGCTTTTTTTAAAAATATTGTTTTCGTTTTTATAGCCTATAATTATATAAATATACTCGTTCTATTTGTTTTATATGAATAAACAAATATTTCATTAGCTTTCAAGAATTTCCCGCATTTGACTTTACCAAAAATTATCATTAAGAAAACTAACGTTGTTAAATTCAGAGGCTTATCACTTAAAATTTAGAAATTAAAAAGATAAAAATAAAAGTTATCTTTTCAGAATTAGAGAGAAGCAGAAATTATTTCAAAGTGATAGCTTCTTCAATATTCATTAGTTCATTTTTTTGGATAATAAATCACGTAAATATTTCAATGCGAAATTTGCAACTAAAAGCGTCTAAACAGTACAAAAATGAATATGGTACGAATACGACAAATAATGGAAGTCAGGAAAGCACTGAAAGCTCCGCCACTATTACCACCGAAAGTACGAGGGTAAATTTTTTATTGACAGAAATTCCTTCATTCGATTATCTCAAAGTTAAAAATTTAGTGCTCATTATAAATTATATAATCAAAATTTTCATGTCTCATCTCAATTTATAGAATAATAAAAATAGTTTACAATGAAGGACAGCCGGAAAAAAAAAATTTTTAGAAGTACTAGAGGTAAAATTAGTAAATACACAAAAAAATGAAATGAAAAGGCTTTTTTCAACTTTTTGGCTTCAAATATTGGAGATCTCAACTGGAATAGCTATGATACTGCGCAAAAACCCTCAGGGTTCCAGGTCTATGGTAGAGCACTCGGGACTGAGGAAGATGCATATCGGCCTCAGATGATGATAAAGGGATTTTTTAAAATATTGAGCATATGAAATTATATAAATAAAAATTATTCATTATATTAAAATTTAAAATTCTAGAATTTTATTAAAGAATTGTAGAATGCTTTAGGAAACACAAATCATCTGAAGCTGATAAAAAAAATTCGATCAAGGAAATCATTCATTTGGATTTGCGAGCACAGTGAGGAAAAACAATTTTTATTTTATATTTTATTATACCTTGAATTCATTGCTTATATAGTATATATATATATATATTCCAAAATTTTCTTCATTATTTTATGGACTATAAGTTTTGAAAATTTTCAGTTGGGAACTTCTTCGAATTTTTTATCACAAATGATAATGATAATCTTATCAATAGTTTAGACGAACGCCATTTAGAATTCTATATACCGATTTAATTAGTGTTAATAACACTAATAAATTTCATGCCGTACATATTTAAATAGCCATATAATGATTAGAAACAAATTTCTAACCACGAATAGTTCATAGAAAAATTGATGTGCAATATTTTTATTGTATTTTTATTTTTACTAAGCGAATAAGCGAATAGCGTTAGCGTTAGAATAGCGTTCCCCATTACTGGTTGACTAATTCTGCTTATTGATACACTTGAAAATTTTTGCCAGTGAATCATTTAGCGCTAGAAATGTAGATAGTCAGCCAGTACTGTCAGCAATCGGCAAAGGTTAGCTTATTTTTATTTGAAGGCAAAAACTGAACCCTCGCCTCTCAACTCGTTGATCTGTTACTATATTATATATATATATATATATTTCGACTATTTTGCTCCAATTAATCGACATCCTTTTTTTTGAATAACTATGAATAATAATTTTGTTCCACAAAAATTTGCCACTTTTTTTTCTGGAGATTTTTCACTTCATTGCCTCTTCGGATAAAACTGCTCGATTTGATTCCTTATTTAGCCTAATAATTTAAAATTCCTGCCCATAAAGGTAAACAGATAAGAAATTTATGAGATAATTAGTGATAACACTTCCGAACTAAGGCAATAGCTATCGAGATGAGGCTCTAGACGCTTTCATTTTCAAACGTTCTTTTCCTTTTCGCCAATCAGTGCTTTTTTCTCGAACTATAGCCTTTCTCCCCGTTAAATCAGACATAAAGAATGATTTTCAACGGGATTTTTTTGACGGTCATCATAAATAATTCCGGGCATATTCGATTTATTTCATCATGTATGCCTTATGCCTTTCGCTTGCCTTTTAATAGAAATTTGCAAAAATATGATTAGTCAAATACTTTAGAGCGCAAATATTCTGCAGAAAAGTATCATTTGCAGGATTTTTTTTTGAAGAATCCTCACCATTACTGGTTAAAATCGTTCCACCCGGATTTTTGCACAGGTTTATTCTTGTGGAGAAAAAATCCTGAACCTCAGCATCGGCACTCCCAATTGAGCAACCGCCATTCGATCTACCATTTGCATGGAATAGCATAGATAATATCTATTAATATCTTTTATGCGATACATTCTCACTAAACTTGCTTCCTTGTATCTTCAAAAGGATACAATTTTATAAAAATTTTTTAAATCTATAAATTTTCAAAATGATCCACGCGCTTATTATACATACAATAATGCTTTCGAAAATCAACGCATACTTCACGAGATGAATAATTTTTTAGTAATTTTCTAATTATCCATTGTATATTCCTCAAAATTTTCAATAAGAATTCCCTATTTCAGTTTACTCAATAATCCTACCACATCAGCAGAAAAGCTTATTGAAGCGTCAATCAGCGATAATGACTATGATGGACCATGGAAAACGGTAAGATTGACAAAACTTATAGATTTATTGCCATTTCAGCTAAGGGTTCATATCAGCTACGACTCGTATCATTTTATCATTTAGTCCTTTTCTTCTATTGAATTTATAAAACAATATAGCAAAAATCAGCTAATACAGCCAAAAATTGGATTTAGGCACTATGAAATGTTATGGCATTTGCCATTTTTCTCGAAAATAATAAGCAAAAAACAAAAAAATAATTTCTAAAAAAATTTATTGATAATTCAGTGTAACTTAATATTTATTATTATTTAAATTATATTAAAAATTATTAATATTTACTATGATTTTTAATATAATTTACTAAAATATAATTAAAATATAACTTTTTATAATTTATATATAATTTTATATTATATATAATATAAATTATTTTTTTACAATTTATTATTATTTTTTATTATTAAATTTACAATTTATTATTTTAAATTGAAAATTTTATTAACTTAAATTTCGAATTTAAAAAATAATTTAAAGAAAAAACGAATAATTTGAAGAATTATAAAATAAGCGAAAGTTAATAATGCTATGCAATTTGCTTTTAATTCACTATTTCCGATTAGTTCCGCTAACTTCTTGGACGAGGTAAATTTACCATTTCTGGTTAGCATTCGCTCCATTAGCTTCTTCGTTGAGGCAAATTTTGCAAGAGAGGCTTACTCATCCAGAAATATCCTAGGGCATTGCAACGGCAGTGCTGGGAAATCAGAATATCAATCCAAAGAGATATTTTACCATTTTAAGTACTAATTTTGCGAGCACTATTCATTTTCTTCTTTCATTTTAACAAATCATTATTTAAGTTTAGTATAATAAGTTTAGTTTTGCAAAATTACCTAAAATAAAAGTAAGTATCATATGAAATTTCATAAAAATTTTAAGCGCTTTCAATATTTTAAATCATTTTGAAAAATTTTTTTATTATAATTTTTTCTTCTATCGAAGAGGTGAAATTATTTATGTATGGCAAGAAGGTAAATATTTTAGATTTTTGGCAATTTTGATTATTTTTTTGACAAATTAAGACAAAAACAATGATAGAAATACTACAGTTTTAGCGTTTATTTTATCTAAAACTAGAAGAAGAAGAAGAATAATAAATCGTATTTTCAGGTTTCTACACCGAGACTACGTGTTCTCGATGATTTACTCGAAGTGTATGATTTATGTTCCATCGATTATACATTTCAAAAAAGGCAATGCATAAAATTTGAGTTGTAAGTGGGAAATTATTATTATTAATAATATTTATAAAATTAATATTTATAAAAATAAAAAATTGTAAATTTAATTCATTCTTTGTGCAATAAATAGCAATTATAAAACAAAATTATAAACTAATTTTTTTAATAAAACTATCGAATCGTCGCGAATATATTTTTGCAAATAGATTTACTAAATTAAAAAAAAAGAAATTAACAAATTATTTCAAATTTATTTCGACATTTTAAAATTTATTTATCAGTTTAATAATAAAATTCAACGGTAAATTTTAAAATTTTAGCCAAAAAAACGAAAGCCGAAATAGTTTTATGAATGAAAAAAATGTTCTAAAAATTCTTCGAAGAGATTTTAAAATAAATTTTTCAAAATCTTTATTATTATTTTCAATTTAAATTTAATTTAATAGAAATTCGATTAAGATATAATCTTGTGAAGCCAAACAATATTCTCCTCGGTTATACGATATTTCCTATTTCTGAAATTATTTGCGAAAATGGTTTTCTTTCGAAAGATATTATGTAAGTCAATTTATTTATTGTATTTGATAAGTGATAAGGCAAGTGACAATGAAAAAATCTTTTTTTTTTGAAAAATACCAATTCATTCTTTTATTAAATTTAATTTGGATTAAAAATATTGCATATATGAATCTATCGATTTTCATTCAGTTCTGAGGATAATGAAGAACCAATACTACGAATATCAATATCGTATTGGTTGGAAACGAGTGAACCTCCCGTTTTATTGCAATTCGTTGGTAGAAATCTATCAAAAAAGGCAATTTCTGATAATTTGAGAGTATGAATATTCATTTTATAATTTTTAGAATCAAAATTTTTTAAAATATAATTTTTTCTATAATTATATAAATAATCTGATAATTTCGAAGAGATCTGATTAGGCACGTTGAGCTGGTTTCGTGATTTTTAAAAATTTCACCGATTAGTCACCGATTTGACGTTAAAATAGTAGATGAATTGCTAAGATCACCTGGCTTAAAAGATTTTAAAAATTCTTTAATTCTTTTCATATTAGTCATTCTTTAGAAATTTTCTTTCAGTTTCAATTTAAAATATATCGAATTGAAATAAACGATGAGAGATATTTGATTTATCAGAGTGAATTTCTGCCTTTTATCAGTAAAGTGATATGGAAACAATTCTTTCTACGAAAATCACTTTTAGCTGACGAAATAAATCGGTTAAATTTTTTTTTGTAATTTTGTAAATATATTGATATTTTTGCAAATATATTGTTATATATTATATATATATATTAATATATATAGTGATACATGAAAAAATGGCAAAATTTTTAAGATTTTAGATTTTTGAATACATTTCTTTATCATTTTAAATAAAATATATATATATTTATATATGTAAAATATATATATACGAATTGAGAAAAATTATTATAGTAAAGATTTTATAGTAAAATATTAAATATATATATAAGTATATAATATATATAAACATATATATAAGTAAGATTTTAAAGATTTTATAGTATAGTAAAGATTTTCCAAATTAGCTCTTCAACTTCGCTAAATATTTTTAGAAAACTTGAAGTAGTCTGTTATCAACGTGATAATGCTGGAAAAGATGAAATTGTTGGACGATTTCAAACAAGCTTTAGTGAAATGCAACGATATTTGGAGACACAAGACGTTTATTTTGTAAGTTTAGTTAATTATTATTTAGCCTATATCATTTTAATAATGATAGGTAATGCTGGCGACTTACCTGTAATTCTGTCGCCAAAGGACTCCCTGAGCTCATTGGTCCAGTGCGGCATACCAGCGGAGCGAGCTTAACCATTGATGGTAAGGACTCTTAAAAAAAAAAAAAGAAATTTTACTGATGAACCAATTTTCTCTTTCCTTACTTAAAAATTAATTTGTTTTCAAAAATTAATTAGTTGCGCGAGGGAAATTCCCTCAACTTTTACTTTTTCTTATTTACTTATGCTTTACTTACTTTACTTTACTTAGTTACTTATAAATTATTTGTCAATTATGAAAAATTTTAGTTAAACAAATCATTGAAAGCAATCAAAAAAGAGAAAGCAACAGCCACTTTTGATATTATTAAATGCAGCGAGACCATAATGTGTTCATTTTTGGACTATATTTCAGCTGGGTTAATAATTTTTAGATTTTAGATTTTAAATTCAAATTGATTCGATTTGTACCATTCTTGATTTTGGATAGTTCCATTGTATATTAGAGGGGGGGGGGGGATAGAATGGCTCGGTAGGTTGTTGCCCAATTGAGAGCGCCAATGCTTAGGTTCGATTCCTCGCAGGAGTAAACCTGTACAAAAATCCAGGTGATGCTGGCGACTCACCTGTATTTCTATCGCCAAGGGATATACTCCTCAGTATATTGCCCTATTGCGACAAGCCAGTGGAGCGAGTTTAACCAGTAATGGTAAAGTAATGGTAAAAGGACTCTTAAAAAAAAAATATTAATTACTTCAAGCGTTCCACAGATTTCCACTGATTCTTAAATAGGATATATGGCTAATGTGAAAAAACTTTGTTCTCAAAAATTCCATCTTAATTATGATAATTTATAAATTTAATTTCTATTTTTTTTCAATTTTTTGTATTTTACCTAAAAGTAAAGAAATAAAAATATTTTTATTTTATTTATTTCTTATTATATTTGTTATATTTTATTTTTTATAATTTTACTTTATTTCTCATATTTTAAAAAAATTAATTAACGAAACAAAAAAATTTTATTAAAGATTTTAAAAATTATTAATTTTAATATTAATAAAATTTTTTTTTATAGATCACGAATTCAAACGGCAATAGCGATTGACTTTTCAACGTCAGCATCACCTACAGGAAATGAAATTCCAGCAGCGATCTTAGTCGATGATATCGAATTGGTTCTCTTTACGCTCTTAGAAACACTTAAAGATTATAATTTGTGAGTTTATTTATTTAAAATTTTAAAATATTCACGATATTAAGAAAATATTTGATTTTTTTTAGAAACACTTTTTCATTAAATAATAACTTTATTTTGTGGTGAAATATTTAAAAATATTTAAATATTTTATTTAAAATTTAAATATTTAAAATTTAAATATTTAAAATTTAATTAAAATTATATAAGTTATTTAAGATATAATATAACAATGTAAAATAAAGTAATTTTATTGATAATTTTAATTATTTCTCACAAAAAAATATATTTTGTAATAAAAATATAATAGATTTTGATTAAAAATATATAATAATTATTTTCTTATTTAGGATCGGATTTGCGCGAATTTTACCGATTATTATATTATATTACAATTAAAATTCCATTCTTATCCATTATAGATGGTATGGCCATCTATAATCTCGCATTTTCTACAAGAAGCCTGGCAGATTGAAATGAGGCAGATAAGTTTGACAAGGGTCTCGCGAGAGGATCCTTGTGGGCAAGGCAGAGAGAGAAGATGTGATTCGAACCATTAGTATTATATATAATATTAATCGCTCTCCGCCTTAATCACTAACCTATTCTGGCTTCCAATACTAAATTAATTAAAATTTTAGGATTTTAACTAAATTTGAATTTATCATAAAATTTTATAAAAAATTTATGTTATAAATTAGTAAGCTAGTAAAAATTCTGCTTCTGCGAACTTATTGACTGCTAATTCATCGTATGATAAAAATTTCCGATAATTTTTTGCATGCTTCTTACATTATAATATGGAAACTTTCAAAAGCATTCATTTAATTATAGCAAAAAATGTAATATTATCTTTCGAAAAAAAAAAGCATCTTCAATGCATTCTCGCTAGAAATGCAATTTTAAGGATTAAAAAAAAAATTTTTCTGCCTTATAGCCTATTTAAAAAATTTAAAAATTTAGCCTTATAAAGAGAAAATTTTGTTTCACTAAGGATTTCAGTTCGAAAAATTGCGCAGCATTTGGATTCGGAGCGAAAATTCCACCATTATATAGGGATTCGCAACAATTTTGCCTCGTATGTTTTCTCGTCCACTAAAATAATTTATATAAGATAAATTTGACATTTGACTAAATCTAAAATATAAAGGATAGAATGGCTCAGTGGGTTATTGCTCAATTCGGTGCGCCGTTGCTGGCGTTCTATTCTCGCAGAAATAAACTTGTCCAAAAATCCAGGTGATGCTGGCAACTTATCTGTATTTCTATCGTCAAGGGACTAACTTCCTAGCATATTTATCCAATGCGACAAGCCAGCGGAGCAAGTTTAGCCACTAATGGTGAGGACTCTTTTAAAAAATATACGGATAAACAAATGATGGGAAAAAATCGAGCAATGTTGAGTTTTAACAATCTTTAGCCGTACGAATTTTTCTATAACCATATTTTTCGTAATGCCTTTTAAAAGTACCATTTCAGTGCAATGCATGAAAAAACGTTCTTAATATCTTTTAATAATACAATATTATACATATTAATATAATGATATAGAATTTTTTTTTCTACTTGGTTGGTGAAAGATTTATTATTGTAGAATTTCGATACGGATCCACACTGTACTGGCACAAATGGAGTTATTGAGGCTTTTAGGCAAGCATACATAACTGTTCAGCCAGTTCCAAATGCGCATTTTTCACATATAATCTATCATGTTTCGAAGTAAATTTATATTTTAATAAAAATTTATTTCGATAAAAATATATTCGTTCAATTATAAGTGATATTTTTGGACAATTAAATGAAATATTCAAATGAAAATTTATTTTCTAAAAATCTTTAAATTCTTAAAATTTTATTTAAGCATTTCAAATTCAAATTTCCGTGCTATTTATTAGTTCCAATAATAATGGATTAAAATTTTCTCGTTTATTATTCGATTATAGGTTAGCTGAAAATACCCGCAAGCGAAACCAAGCATCACTTCCTCAATATTTTGTATTAATAATCATTACTCCAGGCTCGGTTGACGATCTTCGTGAGACAATTCAGGTTCGAAGTCTTTTTACGGCTCTAATATCTTTCTATCGTTTCTATTATCACTTAAATCTATGTGTTTTCCATATTTGATTTTGTTTACTTTATCATTTTTGATAAGGAACTAGTCATTTTCAGTTATAAATTTCGCAATTATTTTGCTATTTAGCTAATGATCTGATCATTATTTTTAAAATTTTTATTCTAATATAATTCGATTAACAAAATAAAAATTATAAATTTTTCATAGGCGATAATTTTTGCATCGAAAGCACCATTATCAATCGTTTTTGTTGGAATTGGCAATAATGATTTTTCGGAGATAGAGAAACTCGGCTTTTCTGGTTCACGATTAGCGTACCAGGGGCGAAAAGTGGAAAGGGATATGCTACAGGTTCATTAGAATTCTGAATAAGCTTCTGAAATTTTCGCCATGAAGTCAAATATCAAAATTCGCATTTATTTATCTATTATATGAAATACTGCCAATAAGAATTGAATCGCACGATTACATTTTAACTCAAACCAGTTGTTTTAATTTATTCATAGAACATCATCGCCCATGCTGATTTTGCCACGTTCTTAGCTGTCCATCAAACGAATTGACAAGGAAAAAGGAATATCTGGATAATTGCTAATCTGGATAATTTTGAGATTAGAAACGAAAAAGATTTGGACTAATACAGTTGAAAGAGTTTTCGAACGTATAGCGTGACCAGCGACATATAGGCCTTAGATTAGATATAGTTGGATAACTTGGATAATAAAAAAGCAATGGCTTTCGTTATTTTCTGATGGACTATGAATCGAAAGGGCTTGAAAATACCTTATTCTTATAATCAGCGTAGTCACTCCAACCAACAATGGTTTCAGCCATTGGAACAATTTTTTAAAATTCACTTAATTAGAAAAATTAAAATTGTAAAAATTATGTTAATTGATTTTCAATAATTCAAAATAAGGAATGGAACTAACCTAAATGTTAATTTTAGGTCACAAAATAAAATAAATGATATATTTTAAGATATAAAAATTATTTTGCCTGAATTTTTGAAATACTTAAAACAATGACCCTTTAGGGTTTATTTATTTTCTTATTCCACAACGATCATCCAATATAAGTAATATAGCTTTGAATTTATAAAAAAAAAAAAAATGAAAATTCCAGAAGAAAAATTTCAAATTTCAAATTTCAAATTATTTTATCAATTTAAACAATTTGTTTTTTAGTTCATCTCTTTAGCCGAAATTTACAACGATCAAGAAGAAGAAGACATACGAGAGCTAATCGCTGAAAAGGCACTTTCACAAATTCCCCGTCAAATGAGCACTTGGATGATGAAAAATGGCTATTCGGCTGAAGGAAAGAAGGTAAGAACTTGAATTTTAATAAAATTTCTCGTAAATTTTTTTCGCTTAAACATATGAATAAAAATAAAATATTTAAGCTATAAAATATTTTATAGAGTAGTATAATGTCAAATTCGAATTTCGATCCTGACGATATTCCAGATTTTCCAAGTACTTCAGAACCAGGTAAATCGAAAAAAAAATACTATCAAATTTCTATATATATATATAAAAATCCATTTCCCTTACCGTTCGATTTAGGAATGGGAATTTTAAGGAAATCGAAATTGTTATATGGATTCGCGATCAATTGCAGAAAATTCGGTTATACCATTAACAGCCAAATCTCTCGAAAGGTTAAATGAATAAGTTCGCCAGAAAAAAAAAAGAACAAATCAAATTTCAAAAATTCTAAATTTTTATTTTTATTTTTATTAAAATTCAGAACGAGAAGCAAGAAAATACGATTTAAGCAATTTCGAACAATGTCAGTAGGCCGATCAACTTGATAGCAATTTGAAGCTTCAATTTCATACTTTCACATTGGCGACGAAGAAATTCGACTAAAATTTCTTATAATCATTTTTTTTTGTTAGGGGGGTGGGGGGGAGAGGGAGAGTATTTCTTTGAAAGCAAAAATTATTGGCTAAAAATTTTTTTTTTAAGAAAAAATAAATCATAATTTATAGTAATAAAGGCGAAATTTATTTCTTATTATTCTCTAAGCAATATTTCTCGCCATAGCTAATTCGCTAGATAGGCTGAGAGCGGTCTTTCACCACGGGGTCATCACTATCATTAAATGCACACTGAATGTATGATATTGACCTAAGTCAAAGTATATTTCTTTATCATAAATAAACATCATTTATCATAAGCGGGCAGAATTTAATGCATACTAATACGTTCATGTATAGATTTATAATAATTTCTCTTTTATAATTTATCAAATTATTTATAATTCTTGATTTTATAGCTTGCAATAAGTAATAACACACTTGAGAATTTGGTCATCTTTTTCAAATTAGCTAAGTTTTTTAAGATTTTATTATTATATTTTGATAACGATTGTTTTTTACTATTTTTATTTCAATTATCGCATTTTAAAAAATAGCGAATAAAACATTTTTTCTCGTTCAAAGATGATTGTATTCATCACTTTCTTTCCATTTTTAAAATTAAAATTAAGCAAAATTTTTTAACAATTTATCAATAAAGCAGATTTTATCATCATTTGTACTATTAGACTGGTTCATTAGATAATTGCGGAGCACCGATACTATTTACGGCAAAAATAAACCTATCTTTCAAAAATTCGAATAACGCTGGCGACTTGTACATCTATTGCAAGATTGATTTTTATGTACTAGCACGTATAAATATTGCATTTATTTATTTGTTTCCTGAATTGAAAAGCTAAATAAAAAGAAGAACTTTATCCATACATATTCATATCACAAGTTAGTCAAGCGTAAGCATAATTCCAAAAATGCTAAAGATAATACAGGAAGAAAGGAAGAAAATATCAGTTTATCATATCATAATATCATTTTTCGGATGCTTAAAACAAGAATCATAAAATTGAAGTTAGGGAAACTCAATTTGAGGTGAACAGTGATATATGAATATGAACATTAAATGTCAAACCGTTTCACCATAAACTTACTTGGGAATAGAGCTACAAGTGGGACGCCAGCCGTCACCCGAATGAATAGAGATCAGATAATTTTTAGAATAAATTTTAAAAAATGACAGGAAAAAATAAAGAATAAATTTAAAAACGAACACTTTTACTAAATGGATAACAATAATCAAAAAACTTGAAGATAAAGTGATACAATACCGCCATAAATTTCGTGAAATTTTCCAATTATAGGAATTTCGTTGAGTAGCTGTCCGATTCCAATATAAAACAGTTGTTTTAATTTCGATGAAGTTTTAATTTTCGGAACCTGAAACAATTACTACTGATTATTGCGTTGAAGCATTGTTATGAGAGAAAATTTCAATGATTTTTATGAGAAATGAAAAAAAAATTTTTTATATAATATTAACAATTTATAAATTTTTATTTCTTCTTCAAGCACCATTTCTCATTTGACGAGTCCCACTAATTATTAAAATAAGGTATTTAGATAATCTGATGTAGCAGATAGACACTACACTATCCAGATAGTTTTAATATTTATTCTGATTACCTTTTTTAGAAAATTTAATCACAGTGTTTTTTCAGTGGGTGTTGGAACTTTTCAATAATAAATCAGTATGAAAATATAAAAATTGAATATCTAAAAAATAAGAAAAAACGTAAGAATTTCAAACCTGGCCTTTAAGAACCATTTTCAAAGCATTATTAACAGTTTTATTATTGCATGTTAAATCATCATTGAGGAACCATAACTTATAGTCTTTTAGAGCTTGAATTTTTCCACCACTTGTTTCTCCATCCAATTGTATGAAGTATGGTGGATCATTCTGATTAGTGTATATCCATTCCCAACCTGATATAAATCTAAATCTCGACGAGTGATGAAAGTAAAACCGCTTTTTTTCTAAATATTTCAAAATTTTTGGTATTTTCAAGTATTATAATGTGCTATTGATTTGCGAACTGCTTTTGTGAAATGTTAATTCTTAATATTTTATCAGTGACTTATGCCTAAATTTTTTTCTTCGCCTAAGATTCATTCGTATCACTATTTACTATAAACATAAAAATATAGGCCTAAAAAATTCATAAAGTTCGTAAAAATCATTACATACTTGTAAGGAATAAATTTACATCGATAAAGAGTTGATTGACGACAAAAGAATCGAATGATTTCGGGATCGGTTACATAGAAATTAAGCTGATACCAGAATACATTATCAAAAAATTTTTTCATTGGTTCTGGATTTTTAATATGGAAATTAGCGCCATTCATTTGATATTTGTATGATTCCGGGGACGCCTCTGATCCTGAATTTATTAATTCTTAATTCGGAAAATAATAATAAGCAAAATGGAAAAAAAATTTGAAAAATTCCTTAAAAATTTTGATATTAAAATACAATTACTTCTGTGCAGGATTAATACTATGGCCTAAAACAACTCCACAGCGCCTTAGTAATCTAAATTTTTTTTTTAAATTTCCTAATCACCATTCAATAGTTTAAATTTGTAAAATTTAAAACTCGCGTTATCATTGCCTAACTTATTTATTTGCACAGAATAATATGGCCTAAGCCTAAGCGTAAGGCTTTTTATACAATAAAAAATGATTTATGATAATTTTGTGTGTGATAATTTTTGCGATAAACTAACGAATCATAGACTAAATTAATAGATACCTCTCTGATCGACTAATATATCATAAGCTATATTTTTCCATTTCAAAAAATATAAATTTTTTCGCCAAAATGTATCAGGTTGAATCATCCAAAACGAAACATTATGACTTATTAATGAACGAATTATTTTAGTTCTGAGAATAAAAAAACTCATGTAAGTTGAATCAGTCGGTTGAAATTTCGTCTGAAATTATTAGAAAATATCGATAAAACATATCGCAAATTAAAGAAATTAGTCAAAATTTTGAGATGAAAAGTTGAAAAAAAAGTGAAAAAAAAAGTATTAATCATGGTACCATCGTAAATCTAAGCAAAAAACATTCGAAAAGCCAAATTTTTTCGGAAATTATACTTATAATTTCCGAAAAAAATAAAACTAATTTCTATAAATAATAAATATTTTATTCAAAATTATTCATTCAAAAATGGATTTTATTTATAATAAATAAATATGCAGTGATAAAAAAAATGGATTTAATCAAATTTTAAGCATTTTCAGCTTTGATGGTTACTTTAATTATCATTTTTTTAAGCGGCCTAATTAAGCCAAAATCCATATAAAATTGCATCTTTAAACGTGAATGTAAAATTTAAGCCAAATTCGAAATTTTTCTAAGAAACCGTTAAACATGATATCGTCCATCGAAAAACTTTCAAATTTGGATAGCTCTTTAATAAGTTAATTCGTGAAAATTCATCCAAAGTAAAAAATAATGTTCGCTCATGAACGTTGAATATATTCGCCGTATTGCAAAGCCAATTTAAAGTTATTTGAATCGCATGTTGATTAAGAATAATCACACCGAATGGTTTTTTCATATTAGCTATGATTTCTTTCCAATTTTTATCATTTTCAAGTTGATCAAATTCAAAATTTTCATCTAAATTTTGGAAAATAAAAAATCCAATTCAAATCCAATAAATTTAAAATTTCAACGATTAAATAGTAATAATATTTAAAGGGAAAAAATGAGGATTATACAACTAAAAAACCATATTTAAATGAGTAGAAATTTGTCCACTTTTATTTTCTTATAAAATAAGGAAATAATATTAATAAATTGATTAAAAGAAGAAGATTCAGCGAAATCAATATGCTATATGAAGACTAAGAAACAGAGAATGTTTTAATTCCTTTTTCCTATTCCTATTCCTATTCCCCTATTCCTATTTCCTGTATTCCTATTTCTGGAAAGATTGACCTGAAAATTAATTGTGATACAACATTAAAATTATAATAATTAAAAAGTGCTATTGCAACGCTAGCAATTCGAAGATTTTGAGATATTATCACAAAGATTTTGAGGTATCGCTATTTTTCCGATCGTGAACTCGAGCAAGCTATTTCTTGACATATTAAAAAAATGAAATCTAGCTGTTGGAATCTCAATTTTGCTCTTATTAGTATGAAAGTGCTTGGCTAAGAAGATTTACTGCGGTGTTCAGCGCGTATAGGCTAAAAATGATTAAGTACAAGTTCAGATGACGGTTCATCTGTATCGTCAAGTCGTTTTATCGTCAAGTTCTCATCCTAGCAACCAATCCAACCAAGTCATATTGGATGTTCGGTCCTATTTGAAGAAGCATTATTTAAAAAAAATGATGATTTACGTTGATATTTATTGCTATAAAATTGCAATTTTATACTCAGTTTACTTATCTAAAAAGTTTTATAAAAATGTTCTAAAAATTAAAATAAAACATACTGCATGATTGTACTTGTCTCATAATAATCGTCGAACGGAAAATATTATTAACGATTAAAATACAGAAAATTTGTAAAAGTAGCATAAGTGTAGCTCGATACGAACCATTTGACTTCTTGAAAATATGCCTTATATGCATTGATTTCAAGCGATTTTAGCGAAAAAGTACTGCTGAATTGAATCTAAGATAAAGAAATTTCAGGTTAAATTAACGATAAATAAATAAAATATAATCATAAATATAAGATACTAACAATTAGTAATTTTTATTTTTCATGTTTCATAACTAGGAATTTAAAGAATTTTGCTATTGTAACCTCATCGAAATTGGAGGTAAAAATTAAACTTTTTGATTATACGGACAATAGTGTGATTAATTTTTTGATTTAATCATTCATTATTTTTTTATCTCTTATATTCAATTATCAAAGTGAATGATAATCACATTGATATCTTTTAAATTCGATTAAATAAATTCATGAGAGATTGTGCTTTTATTTGTGATTTTATAAGAAAAATCGAAAAATCAGTTAATCATCTGATAATTAAAATTGAATATAAGACCACCAGGAAATAATTTTGCCAAATACGATCGATCGACTGCTTATCAATATAAATGATAATCATCAAATTCGACTATCGAAAATTCTTTTTTTGCAATTATTTCATTTATTTTAAAGAATTTTAATGGTAATTTTGCTAAAATCGAAAAGATAAATTCTTTAAAACAATCGAAGTGAATCACTAAAAATTATTTGATAATTCAATTATTTAAAATTATAGATTGAATAAATTAAATTCCTATAATAATAATAGTTTAATCGCTATTTTAATTTAATTTTAAATGTTTTGCATTGATTTTTATTAAAATGCATTTATTATTTATACGATAGGATTGATAAATTTATTTCTATTATAAAATGACATTTAATTAAATGGCAAATTGGAAAATTCGAGTTCCATTCGAATTAAGCTTTAGCTTTTTAGTAGAAAATATATTTTAATAATTATGAGCTCGTGAATCAAAATTGTATTTGCAGTTAATTGTGGTGAATTGTGGTGAATGGTAACGGACGCATTTAAATCTTCGTTAAACATTTCCAATAATTTAACAGAAAATTCATTCATAAAATTAAGTTTTCTAGTTTCAAAAGAGAATGTCCCTTGCATCACCTTAATTGATTAATAGTAAGTTCCACCATATTCCTAACGATAACTATAAAAAGGATTAGCTTTTCGATTTTCCACCTACGTTTGGCTTTTCTTCGCATGTAATTTAGCCGATCATGGATGGAATTTAATTGAAGATAATCTTAAGTTTGCTCCCTTTACAACAGAGATTTCTTGTAAAGCAATCTTTTCCAAAAATATTATATCATATTTATCACCTGGCTCACTAGTTCGTCAGCCAGATTCAAACTCAGGCCTCGATTCTCTTTCGCCATTACCTTACCATTGAGCAATCGAAATAAGTATGGATTTAAGTATGGAAAAAAAAGTTCGAGAATTTTTTCTATTTTTGATATTTTGATATTTGCTTTGGAACTTTTTTGTCCTTCTCTCAGCCTAAAAAAAAAAAATATTTTTTTGCGGTGTTAAAATTAAATAGTTAACAAAAACTAATCTAAGATATTTGATAGTCTCGCATAGTTAAAATTAAAACTTTTATGGCAATAATCCGATTTTTTAGCTTTAATATTTAAAGAAGAAAAAAAAAGGAAAGATAAAGAATTTCAACTCGTTGCGTTTAATCTATTCTTCAATCATCCAACATTTTTACTAACCTATTTATATTTAAATAATATAAATTATTCTCTGATAATATCTAAAAGAAAATTGAACAAAAAAGAAAAAAGAAAAATTGAAAAAGAATGAGAAAATTGAATAGAAAAAATGATATTTTATCAATAATAATAAATATATAAATATATTTGTGGAAAAAATATTAAAATTTCAAAAATTCATTAAAATCGACCTTTTCGAATAAGTAAAAATTAGAAATTATTCGATAATTTCAGCCGATTTGACCGATTTGACCGATTCTGCCTTATCGTTAAAAATTATTTAAGATAAAATATGCAAATTGAATAAAAATTATTTCGAAAATTGAGAATTGAATATAAAATTTCGTTAACAAAAAAGAAATTTAAAATTCTTTTTCCGCATTTAAATAAAATTCTTAATTTGCCTAATAAAAAATATTTTTAAAAAATCCTAGAAAAGAATATTTTTAAAAAATCCTGGAAATTTATTCTTAAAAATCCCTAAAAACTTTAAGAAATAGCAATTTCTAGTTTTTACTTATTATAAAATCTCAAAAATATTCTTATCATAAAAATTATTAATGATATTTTTTCTTATTAAATAATTTTTAAAATTGGACGATTGGAACCAAGTCATGGTGTACTAATTAGAAGAAGCAAGCATAAGCAGATAATTTTCTCTTTTTTCTAAGAGAATTCATCATTTCTTGTTGAACTCTTCGTTGGCTTATCGAATCAGACAAATTTTATAAGTTATTTGGACGTAGAAACCAATATTATCCAGATTTTTATAAGATAGATAGGTTTACTTCAGCTAAAAGTAGAACTGTAGCACTGATGCCCCGAAATAAATCCAACACAAAATACATTATTTATTCTAGTAGCACCGAAAAAAGAAAGAATTTATGCAACTGTCTATTATAATTTTATTTATTATATGCAATTTTATATACAAAATATTATTGTTTAAATATTATTGTTAAAATATTATTGTTTAGCAAAAAAATTCTCAAGATTCATTATTTTTATTTATTTTATTTATTTTCATCATAAATTTCTATATTTTATTGTAAATGTTTGAATAAAACTCAGTAAAACAAAATTTTTCTAAAAAAAAAAATAAAAATAAGGTTATTTTATTTTAAAAAATCTGAAGATAGAGAGCCGCCATACCACCGTAAAGTTTATGAAATTTTCCAAATATAGGAATTTCATTAAGGAATTGTCCAAGTGCAATACAAAACATTTGTTTTAACTTTGATGTAGTTTTAATTTTTGGTACCTAAAATTAATTATATTAAATAATTATATTAAATAAAATTAATTATATTAAATAAATAAGTGTTCCTTTATACGTAAATATAAATCATAAATGAAAAAATAAAAAAAATTCGTTAATTTATTAATTGAATAATTAAAAAATTTCTTGAAATGAATGAAATATATCATAAAAAATTTTATAAATTTTATATATAAATCACATTTTTTCCCGAAAATTTTAGCTAGAATGTAGCTTTAAAAATATGTATTTGAATATTTGTAAAATTATCAGTGTCTATTTTCTTGACGTGAAAATATACGTGAAAACGTGAAATTCTAGGCACCATACGGGTTTCAATTTTTATTCGTACCAAAAGATCGAATTTATCGATATTTATTATCTCCAATCAAAAATAGTTAAAAATAGTTAATAGTTTGACTTTTATGCCTCCTAATTTGAAATTATTTTTCTGTAGTATTTCGTCAAAAATTAAAAATAACAAAAAAAAATTACATACTTTGCCTTGAGCCACCATTTTTATAGCATCGTAAACAGTATTAGGCTTACAAGACAAATCATCATTTAAAAACCACAATTTATAATCTTTAATGGCTTGAATTTTTTTGCCACTTGTTTCGCCATCCAACTGAATCAAATATGGTGGATTTTTTTGATTTGTATAAATCCATTCCCAACCCGATATAATGCTAAAATTAAAATTTATTGCAATAATTTAATTAATTAATTTATTTATGATATGCATAATTTTAATAATTGATTAATAATTTAGCAAATTTTTTTATATGGGAATCCAAAATTATGGAAGATCCATAACATTTGTAAGGAACGTGAAGAGAATTTTTTTTATTCTTATAAACTTCAAATTCTTCAAAAACTTCAACTTTTTTCACGATAGATTCGTTAATTTTTGTTATCAAAAAAATAGACAATAGACAACTGATAAGAATTTAAGAATTTAGCGAAAGATATGAAATATTAGGAGATAAAATAATAAATAAAGGAATTAAATTTCGAGAAAGCTAGAAATTTCTTGAATGAACAAAGCAGAATCTAATGAGTACCTGTAGTCAATAAATTCACACCGATAAATAGTTCCTTGACTGCAAAAAAATTTAATCATTTCCGGGTCTGTCACATAAAAATTAGTTTGGTACCAAAAGACATTATCGAATAATTTTTTTGTTACGGCTGAACTTCTTATGAAAAAATTTGCTCCATTCATTTGACGTTTTCGTAATTCATGAGATGCTTCTGAACCTAAATTTCCTTATGTGTTTGAATGATTTTAGTGAAAATGAATGAGATCAGCGAAAATTTATGTGATTTTTTTAGAAGAAGAATGAATTGCTGTAAGCTATGAAAGACTTAAAATTACGAGTTATACGTTCAAATTCAAATTAAAATGAAGAATCAAGAACCTTGTTGATCAATTAATATATCATAAGTTGACATATTTGTCAAATTTATGGAATATAAATTTTTTTGCCAAAATGTATCCGGTTGGATCATCCAAAAAGAACGATTAAATTCTATTAATGATCGAATAATATTCGTTCGTAGAACAAAAAAACTCATATAAGTAGGATCATTTGGTAAAAATTTTTCCTAAAATTTCGTAAAAAATATGTTTTATATATTAAATATGTATTTTAATATTTTTATGTTTTAAAATTCGTAAAATATGTTTTAATATTAAAATATTAAAAATATTAAGTTAAAAAAAAATTTATTAATTAATTAATTTTAATTAAAATTTAAAATAATTTAAAATTAAAATAAAATTTAATATTAATTCAATTAATATTAAAAATTAATATGTTAAATAACGAATTTTTTTAATGCCAACTATTATTTAGAAATAATTTGTAGTTAGAAATTTACAAAATTTAATAAATTTTTGAAAAATAAAATTTAGAATTTTTTATATTTTTTGGCTATAAATTTTTAAATTTTGGCCATAAATCCATGTCACTTGGATATTAAAAAGAAAGAAAAATATTAAAAAAATAAACTAATGGATTTAATTCGAGATTTCTTTTTTTTAATAGCTCATTACTGGTTAGACTCGCTCCGCTGGCTTATCACACTGGACAAATATACTAGAGAATCCTTTGGCGACAGAAGTATAGGTGAATCGTCAGTCATCATCCAGATTTTTGGACGGGTTTACTCCTGCGGGGAATTTAGCAACAACCTACTAAACCATTCTATGTCACGATATGTAATAATTATAATAGCACTTTTAAAATATCATAAAAATATTAGTCTTGTAGGTAATTTTATATTAAGTGCTGATATATTCGTAAAAAAAAAGCATTCACGAATCAGAAAGGGTTTAAAAATAAGAGCGACTTATCTGTCTTTCTATCGTTTAGCGATCTCTTGGCGCGAGCCTAACCAAAAATGGTGAGCGCTTTTAAGACCGTAGAATTTAAATTTTCTTCAAAAAGATTTCAGCAAATCGATAGATAAAATTTTTATCAAATTATCAACATCAAAAGCTCCGATCTTCCTCTTATCTCTATATTAACTCATTAAGTAATTTTTCGCAACGTGGGTAAGACGAGAACTTGACGAGAAACTTAGTCTTACTAGTGATTCACTAGGATCTGATTATTAATCATAAGATTTTATTCGGCTATATTCAGTCTAATTGTTACAACTTCAGTTTGAACTTTAATGCTACGCTATATAATGAAATGAAGCTCAGCAAGCCCATTCTCCTTTAGTACTTTCATAACTGGTTAGGCGAACCTCGATTAAAAAAAGTAGCACATTTTCAAATGTCCAAGTTCGATCCGATATTATCCGATATATTTTGCTGAAATAATAGAAACCATTCATTTTTACATCTTTTAATTCCGTCTATGACTGGTCCACCTATACGTTCGAAAATTTTCCTGACCATATCAATCTAACAGTCTTGATTGGACCTTGAAGCCAACACAGAGTTTAACAAGTAATGAAATATATGTCAACTCTTATAGTGGATGAAGAACGTGCATCAAGCAGAGAAATGTTAATTACTGATTACTGATAATTAATTACTGATTGTAGGACCAATTTTCTATTCCCACAGTTTTTTCATTCGAAATGTTAAGTACTGATAATTTGAATTAATTACTCCACGTTGTTTTCTTGCTCGATTCATTATTTCTACTTTTTCCTTTTTTTTTCATTTTAATTTTTATTATTTTTTTCGAATTATTTATATTACTCACGGTTCTAATTACATTTCTTATCACTAATTCCAGCAAATGTTCTGCTTGAATTTATAAATAAATAAATCATTGATAATCGCTTATCATAATTTTTTTATCAATGTATAAAATAAAATTACTTAAAAAAGAATCATAAAATGTTACTTAAATATTTGTTACTTAATAAATGTTACTTACAAACCTTTAAACATGGTGTCATCCATTGGAAAATTTTTAAATTCGGATAATAATCCGACAAAATATTATAAGAGTTACTGTCTATAGTGAAAAATAACGTCCGTGCGTGAACATTTGGCATATTTGCTGTATTACATAGCCAATTTAAAGTCATTGGAATCGCATGTTGATTGAGAATGATAACGCCGAAAGAATCGTCCATACTTTTAACTATTTCTTGCCATTCTTGGTCACTATTAAGTGCATCGAGGATAAATTGTTCACCTGATAATAATTCATAATTCATTACTGAACTGATTGATAAGAACTAAAATTTTTAAAATTGATCAAATAATTTATGATTCTTGACTCACACACACACACACATACATATATACATACACCACTACCACTGTTTTTGGGGTTACTGATATTGTAGATGGCTGAGCTATATATGGCTGGCGCCCCACTGTTATCAGTCAAAATCATCCTTAGTTATCAAATATTTTTTTTGTTTCATTTAATATTTAACTTATTATTAGGTTTAATTACCAAAATTCGAATGACTATGGTTTATTATTATTATTTATTATTATTACTATTACTTATTATCATTATTATTGTTATTATTGTTATTATCATTATTGCTATTTTTGCATTATTTTGGCTAAAAAATTCAAATTATTTCAATGGCCGATTACAAATCAAAAATTATTGCTATTTTTGCATTATTTTGGCTAAAAAATTCAAATTATTTCAATGGCCGATTACAAATCAAAATTCCACGTGGCACAGCACAATATAATGTCATTTAGAGTTGTGTAAGCTATAAAGAATTTGGTAGTTTTGGCAGTGAATATCAAGGAAGGACCACTAAAAGCAGGAAAAATGCGACAAATTCCTTATACTAATTCATTCAACAGCGAATAGATCTTATCATTGATCAACTAGCTTCTTATGATAATACGGTAAATACTACTGAAAAATTGAATAGATATTTTTTTACATAGTTTACATAGTTTAAGCCAGCCAGTGGATTTAATATTATGTATTAGGCCTGGAGCCTAATGAAAAAAAAAATTCCTTATCACTAGGCAAATCACTTTCATAGTAATCATACTAGCCAATTAAACCAAAAATAGTTGTAAGAAAAGGGGGGAAAAAATCATTAGGCTAACTCCAAACAAAATCCGCCATAGAATTTCTTAACTCTAGAATTATCACTCGGATTTTTTGAAAAGATAGATTTGCCTTCCGCTTAGAATAGAATAGAAACGTCTAATAATAAGGCTTCCTCCAAAAAATGAGACCAATAAACCGATCCAATAAAGAAATATATATAAAAAAATAAAAACTTACTGCATGAATTCACAATTCTTAAAGTAATAATTGATCGAAATAAATTATTAATAAATATTAATGATATAATATATAAGAGAATAATAAAAATATTTCCATATTTTGTGAAATTTCTTTGAAATTTAAAAATTAAAAATTTTTTCATGAAATTATTAAAAATTTGACGATGTTTCATGAAAAAAAAAAATTATAGAAAATCTTTTGTAGAAGAAAAAAAAAAAATTATTTGAATCAAAAACGAAATCACCGAAATATGTCAGATGGTCATTTATGATAATCATTTATGATCATCTTCATGAATTGATTTGATTGAATGATTACAGATAAATCTACAACTTCCTTTTTTTTCACCATGTTTCTTTCATAATTCTAGAAAAATTCATATGTTGTTAATTTATTTATCAATGGAACTATCAATGAAAATGATTGATTGATATTAAATGATAAATGATATATATAGAATAAAGAACTAATTGAAAGATATAAATATTAAAAAATTAATATTAAATTAGCTAAATATTTTGAATTAAAACTTTTTAATGCAAATAAAAAAAATACATAAAATATTTTTTATTAAAACCTTTAAAATCCCTTTAAATCATATTATTTTATTCCGTTGGAATGAATAATCATCGACGCAGAACATGTTAGTTACGATTAGGCGCTTGCTTATCACTTAAGGCTTCCTCTACATCGCCTAAGGCAATTTTTCTTTCTTACTATATGAAACCTTTCGCCTAAAACGATTAAGAATCCATCTATCCGTAAATTATCTTCTTGTTTTTTTTCTTGTTTTCTTCTCATTATGGCCTATTTTCTTGGATACTAATATGAATATTTTAAGGCTTAATAAAATTGCGTTAAAAAGAGATAGCAACTTTTATGATTATTTTCATTATTAGATTTTTTTCTTTTTTTTTTGGCCTTTTTTCTTTTTCGTTTATTAAATATAAGAATTATTTTTAGCTATTTTATTTAGCTACTCTATGCTCCATTGACTAGTCAGAAAATTAGATAAAATTTTGCAAGCCAGCTTAGCGCTGATTTTTCAAAGATAGATATATTCCTATTACAGCCTTAGCGTTGGCATTCTGAAATAACCTGAAATAATCCACAGAACCAGAAAGCACCATCCTTAAAGCACCATCCGAAAAATGGACCAAATAAGAATTTTTAAAATATATAATGGAATGGAGAATTCTAAAGTGAAATTCGATAATTTAAAGAATTTATACTTAGTATTTTGTTCATAATGTGCATATTTTATTCGCAATATATGTGGTACTTTCATATGTGGCAGACTTATTGATGGATAAGTGATGAATACAAATATTTAGTTGTCGATTAATAATTCGGTACCATCGTAGGAGAAAATGAACTGAAAAGAATTAGGATATGTATATAATTGGGCTTCTTTTGAGGGAATAAATTTTCTAAATCTTCCTTTTTAAATAGGATGAAATCATGAAAAATACAAGTCGGATCCAGGCCTTGGACCGTAAACTTGAGAATCTCTCCACTATGATTTTAATTCCGCTATAATTTAGAATAAAAAATACTATAAATAAAGTAGAAAAGAAGTTATTATTTGAATATTATTTATCGCCTTGATAAAGCACTTTTATCACTCCATTAACATTTAAATTAACATTTAAATTTATCAGTAATAAAAAAATATTCAAGCATAAGCGAATTTTTATCAAAATAATTTTACTTATTATTTCTGCAATATAACTGTAAGGAAAATGAGGGCATTTAAACCGACATATTAATATATTAATGCATTTTCGCTATTCAGAATAAAAGCTTTGAAAAAAAAGCAAATAATGTGAAAAAATAAAACTACAAAAATACAAAAATATAACAAAAATATAATAAACAACTAAAAATTGAAATTTTTGGAAAAATATTCTAGTCGATAATAGGACAAATAAAAATTTATTCAAATTTTGTTGAGGGAATTTAATAATATAATTAAAATAATTGTATAAAGTGATTGATTTACTTCATATTTTCTAATAAATAAAATTCTGGAAATAATAAATGCAGATATTCAATACATTAAACAATATATATTAAATACTTTTCCTATAGCGAAGATAGGCCAAAAAAAACAGCTTCAGTAGACAGCAAATCGAGAAGAGAGCGCTCTAACAAGAGTTTAGCTCAGATCCGTCACACAACCGCGTAAATAGCGGCTAGCTTGTCGCATGAAACCAGTGACCCTAAATAACAGTTGAATATAACTGTTATAGGGTCGGAATTTAACCTCAGCAACCCGAAGCCTTCAATTCTTGACCTTCCTCTTTTAAAGTTGTTAACGTTGTAAGATTCTGAAATAATTAAAAAGGATAAAAATAATAATAAAAGATAAAGATGTTGTCGAAAAATTATAGAAATATCAAATAAACCTAATGCAAAAAAAAAACTTTTCAATTACTTCAAACTAAAATATGAGAGGAGAGAAAATATGCTTTAAGCCGAATTATCGAAACATCTCAAATATATAGCATTACTGCAACTGCCGATGATTGGTCCAAGTCAAAGGCTTAAAAGGTGGCTAAATTTAGCCTTTGAGAACTTCTATTTCTATGGAAGGAAAGAAGAATTAGCAAACTGGATCTATAGGAAATTTTCGCCCCCTAATGTTCTAAGGGCATTGGTATGTCGCTTCTGTAACCCATCGTTACCATATTTTATTAATTTTTGCCATCGCTTTATTATAGAAGACCGCTCTCTGGAGTTATACAAAATGATTGCATTATAGAGAATTATCCGAATTGTTACGGTATTTTGTTGATGGTATATCAGCGGAAACTTGCATTTATAGGGAGATCACATCCCTTCGAAATAATAACTAATTAGTTCAAGGTTATCATTTAGACCGCTTATCAGTAATCAATAATCATATAAGCCAGAGCATAGTGACCTTCAATACACTGATAATATAGTATTTCTTATGCTGTTACTTAAGAAGAGTAATAACAGCTATAAAAGACGAAACTTTTTTCATATTATTTATTAGATGTAGTTGAACTGTTCCATAAATGCATGGATGAGGAAATGTTAACATAAAAACACCCCGACACTACTCTTTTAAGAAATGAATAACTGGTAGACAAAATGCGAAATGCGAACTCGGATAGCTTCTGCGAGAAACGATTAGGCTGGTCTGATTTTTTATTGTAAAATAAAATCGCCACTATCTGACAGTGCGCAATTCTATTACATAACTATAAAATATGGGCTAGTGAAAATGGAAAATATCAATTCATTCCATTTCTCATTCTTTTAACCACCCAGCTTAAGGTGCATTTTCCATATTCATCGTTCAAATGGGGTTTTATATACACCGATTTCCCTTCAAATACCATCTGCATTTATAGAACTATAATTTCATATGGTGATCAGGTCTTGCGATGGATGATGAAGCCTGGGCTGAAGGAAACTTGGATTTATACGATACCTTAGACGATCTATCAATGTATGGGCTTACACTGTGAAAAAGAAATCTTTGTTATTTTTAAATAAAAATTCAGACCGAAAGGCTTAAAAAAGAGCGTTATCAGCTTAACTAATAATTAATATTGTGAGCTAAGAAGAAGAAGAAAAAGTAAACTAACTTCAGCTATAGTTGGATGAATTCCGATCAAACGATCGAAATCAGCTTTAGTTGCACTAAATTTGAAAGCAATTGCAAAGCCTTGAGTAATTTCACCAGCATTAGGAGCAAGAATATGATATCCCAGAACAAGATCCTGAAGAAATAAAAAATTTTAAAGAAATAAAAAAATTTTTGAAAAAACAAAAAAATTTTTAGCAATTTTTAGCTCTTCGATAAAACTGCTATGCTTAGTCCAAATGATGATAAAATTTGTCGGAAAATAATTTGTTTACATAAAGAAGATTATCATATAATCTTGTCAGATAACTAAAATGCTAAAAGACTGACTATTTTAAAATATAAATTTTTTCACATACAACATTAGAAATGCCTCGAAGATCTTCCAGAAAATAAAACTTGAAATAGTAAATAAATAGAAAATAAAATAAAAATGTGGCTAAAATGATATTTAGAAAATATTATAAAATAAAAATTAGCCAAATTACCAAAATCAAAGATGATGAAAATGGCAGTAAGAAAGGATATGAAATTAGCCAAGGAAATTATTAGAAACAATAAAAATATGATAGAAAGAAAAAAGATCGAAGATAGTATGGAAGGAAAATACACAGGAAAATAAAAACGATTCAATATGCTTTACTTGTTGATTTTTTAGGCAAACCAGCTTGCAGTAGCAGTGATCTTTTTCTGTTCTTTCAGGTACTGTATACTCTAACGGAATAAACTTGTTATGATAAACATTTATATTATCTTTACCATATCTGCAAATATAAAATTTTATAACAATAATATTTTACAAAACGATTTCTTCGTTTTTGTTGAAATTCTATCACTATTGTTAAACTCTCTATGCTGATTGTCCATTTCATTAAAAGAAAAAAAAAATTTCTATCCTTTAACGAAATATTAATAATATACAATACAACCATATTATTTTAATAAGCTACATAAAATCAAGAAAAAAATCATTTCGATTTCTAAACTTTCGAAAAACAATCTATAAAATTTTTTTACCTATAAATAAAATTTGTTCAAAAAAAAAATCAAAAATTCAAACTTACAATTCAATAGCTTTTTCTTCTGATAGACCACAACAACCGTATTCGAGTGGAGTAAAGACGGTCGTAGGAATACTATCATATTCAGTCAATTCGGAATTTCCAGTAAAAATTCTCCTCATTAATACACGACCGGCTTGAATCGCGACAGGAGTTAGTTCAGGACATCCACTCAATACATCACCAATTGCATAAACATAAGGACAGCTTATACTTTGCTCTCGCCGACCAATGATCTTTCCTGTTTTGCTGCGTTCTACATTGATCGTATCAAGACCTAGATCATCAGTTACCGCATCTCTGCCGATTGCCATTAAAACCTAAATGAAATGGACTCAGTGAGAAATCTATAGCTAGACTAAACAAAAAAACAAAGACTCAGGAAATCTCAAATTAAAAATTACTTTTGAAAAATAACTCACTGTATTAAACTCATCTGTTACTGTTTCCTTGGTACCATCTTCTAATATACGTTCGGTATAAACACGCACTACCCCAGGTTTACTATCAGTCGGTTCTTGAATTCGTTCGTATTTCACAGGCACAGCTCTGAAAAATCCACAATTTTTATTTTAATTTATCGGTGGGGGGGGG